TAAAACACCTTCCTTTTCTTTTTATATTCATTTTAAAAATCATGGAGACATCATTGTCTACAAGGGACAGGGTTGTCCCTTGTTTAAAGTAATAGGTTTTATTTGGTTTTGCTGCTCAGCTTTCTCTTACTGAGGGAAGTTAGTAAGCTGGTGTTTTAACTAGCATGTCGAATCCTTTTCTAAATGGACATAGTAGGAGTTGGTGATTTCTTCTTGGGCCTCTGTCCCTCCCTTTGGAAAGAAAGGAAACATGTATCTGTGTATCACTCGCTGTGGTTCCTTTAGTATAGAAGAGCCCTTGATCTGGGGTCGAACTCGGGCCTTCCCTTGGGGTTCATATTGACCGAGCAGATTTTTTTTCATTCGGTGGGTTTAGCAGTTAAGTCGGAGAAACTGCTGAAAACATTACACGAAGCAGTTGGGAATATTCCTGACTTTTATCAGAAGTCATCTAGGAGGGGCAATAAAATCCCTAGAAGGTAGTAATACAAGTGCTTCTTACTTCCTCTTGATAACGACATAGCTGGCTTGAAGTTTGAGAGCTCACATGCTGATGCTGGCTTTGCATAATGAAAACCTTTTCAGATAATGAAATACCTATTTATGATGTACTTGATAGTTGTGACTGGACACTGTGTGATCTCTGGTAGTTGGTCCTGATGCTCTGTTTTGGGAATAGCTTTATAGTTTCTCTAGTGGCCTTATGTCTCCTTCTTAAACACGAGTTGCTTGTGTGTAGATCTCCAGTTCTGAGAATGAAAGGTGACTCTGAGGAAGGAGCTAAACTTAATCTTTAGAGAAACAAACAGGAAATTGTACTGTGTTCTTTTTTCCTCCAGGACAAGGATGAGACTGAAACAATTAAACCAGTACAGGACTCAGACATGCACGATGGTAATGAAGTTCCTGAAAGTATTAGATCTGATGCTTCTGATCAAGAAGATGATGAATGTGAAAGAGGTCCAGTGTCAATAAGTAAGCTTTTTTTCTAGCTTGTTATTTAATACTTTCACTGCAGAGTTTACCAATTAATTTTATAACAGAACTTTTTTTTAAGTACAACTGGGTAATAGTTTCTTGCAAGTTTTGTAGCTGGTTCTTTTCCAGTGTAAACTTACTACAAGTAATGTATCTACTAGCCTCTCCTTAAGGCTTAAATATTACAGTTAGAGGTGCTTTTGCTCTCTATCTTAATCAGTAAGTCTGTAGGAAGTTGTGTTGGGATCTGAGAGTCCTGGTTTGTTAATAACTTATCTCAGAGCTAAGTTAGGTTTCTTAGGCTTTGAACTGAGTGATGTGGAAGCTGCTCAAATTTGTGCAATTCTTCAGTTAAATGCTGGTCTATGAATATGCTTTTACTTAGTCTTATGTACTTTTAGTAATTTTTTATGCTATTTATTCTTTTATTCTGTTTATCTTCTCACAACTACTGTTCCTGGATTAGTTTCTCTTACAACCAGCTTGTTTAATAACTTAGCTATTTCATATTGCCAGACAGTAATACAGTTCATAGGGAGAAAGGGATCCTTGAGAGTAAGTGATCACCATGTTGGTTTCAAAGAAAGCTCTCAAATAAGAGTCATAACTGATCGTTGCAATAACTTTGTAAGTACATCATCTTCCAAAAGGGTTTTGGATCTGCAGTCTGACTCTTATTCTGTGAGGTGCCTCAGGAAGGGTTCTTAGAAAAATCCAACAAATTACGTCAATAGGTAAATCTAATCTGAAGGTTGTTTTTGCATTGATTTGCATCAGGTTTATCGAAAGCAGAAACACAGGCTCTGACTAATTATGGAAGTGGAGAAGATGAGAATGAAGATGAAGAAATAGAATTTGAAGAAGGACCTGTGGATGTGCAGACATCATTACAAGCCAGTAATGAAACTGCAACTGAAAACCAACAGGTATCACCAAGGTTTTAAGAACAGAAAGAAAAGAAAAGCCAATGCATAACTTGTGTACAAGCATTTTGTAAACCTTCAGTTTTCCTTGTTGCACTGTTCTCAGACTAACAAAAAATACAGGAAGGATGTGAGAAATCATAGAAAAACAATAGCTGCTACAAATAGAACTTCTGTTCATTCCCCACTTGTATTTATTATTGGTGTAGTTAATGCCGAAATGAGTACATAATAAACAAATGTTGCTATTAGACTACAATTAGTTTGTTTTTAGAAACTTTCTGTTTTAACCTTTATTCTCTAAGAAAGAAATGAAGTTAAATAGAGAATGACAGATACTTCACAAAAAATAAATTTAAAGGGTAAGTTGCAGCATTTCTCCCCCTGGCCCCTCCCAAAAAACCTATATAGAGAGAATTTGCTATCAGAGAGAGAAGTTGCTAAAAAACTGCAGCAGAAAAGATGATAAATTTGAGATGCTGCTCTTTATTGTCACTTCAGGTGTTTTTTTTTGTTGTTTGTTTGTTTGTTTTGTTTTGTTTTTTTTTTTAGAAACTCCTGGAAGTATGTGACAGTCTCTTGGAGACTTAGTAACTAGAGAGCAAAGATTGATTACAGGAAACTCTTGAAATTCTGATTCAAGTTATTAACATTTAGACAAGGATGTAACTGAAATATTTCATGGCTGAAAGGAGAAAGCAATATTTTTTTTCTTGTGGGATCAGCATATATATCTAGGAATATCTTTTTATATTAGAATGCAAATTAGGTGCTCTAAACACACATATCATTATTAACAATTACTTATCTTAATACTACTCTAATAAGTAAACATTAGAACTTATTAATTTTATTTCAAAGTAATTAAAAAACAAAAGCATTGGACAAGTGCACAGTGTACTTCTGGCTACCGTCTGAAAATAAACTAGACAGTGGGTTGTAAAACTGTTTGGTAGAGTTTGCTCCAACTGCTTTACTTCTTCCTCAATAGACTTTTAACCAAGAACTGAATAAGACAAAAGACACTGAGGTTCTCTCATCAGAACAAGCATCTGTTAAAGGTAAAATCCAGTTAAAAATTGCACAGTAATTGAGAGACTAACCCTTCTTCAGGAATTGACATACTGTGAGAATTTTATTGTACTGACTTCGATATTTTAATATGTCTGTATTGATATGGAGAGAGCATCTCTCTTAGGAGAACATAATGGCTATGCTATGCACTTGATCAGGGATAAGAGCATCAAGGTCAGGTGTGACTGTTGCAGCCATTTGCACACAGTTGTAGCTAGATAATTTGTTTCAGGCTATTATGTTTTAATGTTTGGATTGGTCTACTTCCAGCTACCTTATGGCAGTTGGTCTTTTAAAGGCATGTGAGCAATACTCCCTTAAATCATGACTAATGTCTCCTCGGTGGGATAATTTAGCAATTTATTCTGTGAAACTTGGCTTAATTTTTTTATTATTATTTTTATTTATTTTTAATATGAAGATTCATAACTCCTATACAAAAGACTAAGAACTGAGAAGTCATTGCTTGTGTACAGTAAGAAACATGAGCAGGTGGTATAAATATTACTTTGAATATAGCCGTTGTGACCTTCTTTTCCTGTGTGTGTCTTCTGTATTTCACACTAGACCATTAAATTCCAGAATCTGAACTTTTTGTTTGTTTGTTTCTAAGCTATATCAAATCTGACATTTAAACAGATAGTGTCTGGTGATAATTACTGATACTTTACAAGTCTGTGGAACTCTGTGTAAGCAGATGATGGATTTCTCTTAGTTATATTATCTGAATGACTTTTACTGATCTGAATATGCTTTTAATGCTGATTTGTAACTTTCAATTATAATTTAAAATAAAACAAATCTTCTGATTTATGCTCAGAAGCTTTTTCTACCTAATTAAAATGTAATTTTGGCTTTAGGTGAACAAGATGTGTCTTCTGTTTTACCTCATTACCTCAATGTCTTGGAGAATGCGACACCTTTAAAGGACTCAGGGCTATTGACTGTTATAACCAATATGAAAACAGAAGAATCAAGCTCATCTTTACCAGTAAATGAAGCTCAAACACTAAATCCAGCATGTGTAGGAAGCAAATCATCTACTGGAAGTTCTGAAAGCTCCATGGCTGGCAGCCCTGATACAGAGTCACCGGTGTTAGTGAATGAATATGTGCGTATATACCCGTTCAGGTGCACTCAAGAGAAATGAGGGATTTTTTTTTTCTATACCAGTCTTATACCTAGTTTCTAGATAGGCTAAATTTTCATCTATTAAATTCAGCATTATTGGTCCAGGGTACTTAATGGTCAAAAACTCTGGCTTTGGGGTGGAGTATAAACCAAAGTAGTGCTGTTTTCTTATATCACAAAATTTATTAACAGGAAGCTGGTTCTGGAAATATAAGTCAAAAATCTGATGAAGATGACTTTGTGAAAGTTGAAGACTTGCCCCTTAAACTTACGGTGTATTCAGAGGTATTTTGCTTATTGTTTGTGGGGTTGTTGATTGGATGTGCACACTATAAGTATCCTAATTATGTAGACGATGTAAGAATTATCTAGAGTTCTTAGTTTGGCTTTATCTATTTATAAAGGCAGATCTAATGAAGAAAATGGCAACAGAGTCTCACACCAGCAATTTGTGTGATGAATTACTCGATGGTGGTGTAGCTCAAGATCAAGAATTAGTAGGAGATGCCCAGACTCTGAAGGAACCTGGTAAAGACTATTTTGTTTTCTAACTCATGTATACCTATTGGGAAAATAACCTAAGATGGCTTAAAGTTTAAATATTTTGTTACCTCTGGCTGATGGAAGAAATTATAGTGATGCTGCAAGAGTATTCTTTTTCATTACCTTGTATTAGAAAATTGGGTCTTAATGCGAAGGGATTTTGCGTTTTGTGTCCCTTCTAGTTATTTCTGTTAGAAGGTTCTGTGATTAATAAATTAAAAATTGTAAAAATTAACATATATTAAATGTATGGTGTAACTTACTAGCTATGGAACTTATAATGGAGTAGCATTTTTTTTTTTTTTTTTACAAGAGCTTGCATGTGTCATAGTATAAACTTCAGTTGCTAGTACCTGACTGGTTTAATAATGTGCCCTGTAGCTTGTTGGCACACTTCTCAATGTTTAACTTGCTAATAATAAAAAAAAAAAAAGTCAGGGGACTTAAGAATAGTAAGAGAGAAATCTGCCTGGTGAATACTGATGCAGATGCCTGGAGGGACCAGTGTGCCCCAGAATGGCATACTGTGCCAAATCTGAAGTTAATACTTGAATTAAGTGCTCTTTTCTTTGTCCATGGAATGGCTATACCTGTTCACGTGAGCCATGACTCAAAGTACTTGTGAAAGCAAGGTGAGGATGAAATATTTCAACAAGGTATTTTCAGGGATGTTTATGAACAGTTGGAATGTGGCCAAGAGCTATATTTGATGCCTTGTGCTGTTAGACAATAATGCATATATTCTTATTTTACAGACACTGTTGGAGTTCAAAGTGCATGAGAATGGTCTGCAGATACCTGCATATTTATACTCCGTGTATACAATACAAATGCCTATAGAAGATCAGCACTAACTTACCAGAATTCTGAATGTGTATAAACATGTAAATTAGTTTTTGACACTCTGCCTTAGGGATAGGTATGTTAACTTCTGCCTGTGGCAGTTTAAACAGCTGGAACTGAGTCTCCTTCTCAGTCTTGCTGTTCTTCTGTCTTGATCTTTTTAATTTTTTATTGTGACTTGTTTAGTAATTTTAAAACTGTTCAAAATTGTAGTTTTAAATAAAGTTTAAATAAAGTTTAAATCTGTAAATCCGTCTTCTGAAAAATGTTCCTCCGGCTGACAGTGCAGTACACAAAGCTAATTGTTGGAAGTTCACTCACTCTAGTGCTGTTGTGTTAGCTGATTTTTAATAAGTGTTTAACTGTTTGCTATTCCAGTTCACAGAAATACTATTAATTTTTTTTGAACAAGAAAATCTTAGGAAAAAAGTTTATTCTTTTACAAATACAACCTGTACACCTAGTACCTACTTAAACAGTGCCTGATAGCATAAGTATTACTGGCATGTAAGAAATGTTGCTGTTTTGCTGCCTGGGGAATTTTGCTCAGATAAATGTGCTCATTGGAATGACGTAAATTGACCTTTTTTGTAAATGACTTTAGAAACTGTTCTTGTTTTTCTGTATTTCTTTTATACTGAAAAGGCATAACATTTTGCTATTCTTCTGCATGTAACATTTAAAATATCTGCAAATGAAAAACCCAAATTTACTTTCAAATTATTTGACTTTGTGAAGGATTTTGTGTAAAAAGAAAGAAATGTGGGGAAATATGATAAAAGTTACTGTTTAACAAAGTTAGAGTTGGTTAAAGTCAAAACGTCATTAACTCAAGGCAAAGGCCTAATTAGGGGTGTAGAAAAACAGATTAGGAATCTTGAAATAGAATAAACTTTTTTCTCTTCACTTTTTTGTATTCTTGCTAGGATGAGTTGTAAATGTTAAGTTGTAGAATTGATCTAGATAATAGCTTATTCAGTATATCTGCTACAAGATAGAACCCTTGTTTACCCTCTAAGAAAACAAAACTTCTCTTCCAAAAAGTTTTTAAAGTTAAATTTTTCTTCTTAAAGTTAAGATCTGAGATCTTAAATTCGGACTTGTCTTTTTTGCTAAGTGTGCTAATACAGCTCTAGGGTGTGAGGGGCATTCTGGTGGCCCCAAGTGTGAATAAAATGATAGTGAGTTTGACTACTGTTGTTTATTCACATGTTCTTGAGGTTGTCTGGTATACTGTCCTTCAGAGAATATAACAATGATTTTTTTAAGGGTTTAGGTTTGTTAATTTTTGGTTTTATGAGTTTATCTAAGTCTAATATGTAAACTGTGAAAAGGCAGATGGGAGATGAAAAGTCTGATTGTAAGAGCAAATCTCTACCTAAAGGTGTAGAGGTGAGTTGTCATTCACAGTGTAAACACCATGGTGATAGTGTCTGCAGGAAAAAAACACTTTGAGGACAGAGAAGATAAAATGGGACAAAGGCAGACTGGTGAAGATGATGATGATGGGGGGAAAAAATAAAGCTTTTAATCATTAGAGCCCCACGTCCACTTTGAAGCAGAACAATAAGCATTCTCGATGACAGGATTTGTGCATCCACCAGGCTGAATCTGAGGAGCTGTAACCAGACCCCTGAGGTGTAACAGGTTTTGCCTTCCTCCCGTGAAGCCCTTTGCTGCAGCAGGGTGTGAGCGGGCGCTGCACGGACTGTGAACACCTACTCGGAGCCAAAGGGATGGTGCTGCTGAACTGCTGCTTTACAGTGACACGTGATCATATTATGCAGTTGAAGAAACATGCCTAAAATCTATTATAACTTTGAGGAACAAAAAGTCTCTATGATGGTTGTGTTTGGCTGTGTTAGCAGTGGTAGGCAAGTGCTGTAACCTTATTCCCAAGAAACAGTTGATAGCTGGAATAATTTAGATGCCAAAACCATTGTCTGATCTGCCTTTGGAAAATGACTGGTTGTGCAGTTAAAGAAGAGTGTTCATCAGGGACCTCTTCCACCACCAGCAGTGAAAACCACGAGGCTGCTCTCGGAGCAATGACTGCTGCTCTTGCCCCGTCAGTGCTGACCGTGCCACTGTCAGCAGTGTGCAGTTAAAAAGAAGAGTGTTCATCAGGGACTTCTTCCACCACCAGCAGTGAAAACCACAAGGCTGCTCTCAGAGCAATGACTGCTGCTCTTGCCCTGTCAGTGCTGACCGTGCCACTGTCAGCAGGTGTTTGGTGAAGCACAAGCGCTTTCAGAGGCACCACTTTGTCTGCTCAGGATGGCTCTTGCTCTAACTTCTTTGGCATGAATAAAGCAGCCTTGTGTAACACAGCACACACAAGTTCAGAACATGCAGCCAAAAATGTTTAGGAACGACTGCGTTTTCAAATGCTCTGGAAGGAACTGAAGGACTTCTCTTTGAAGAGGTTGGGAGGAGTGAAAATACTAGAAGTAATTGAAGAGGAAGAGTTACAGCTGTAGCCTAGGAAGAGGGAGGACAACAGTCACCAGAAATCAGGTAGATTCATTTTAGACAAATCACTAAGGAAATGTTTATATCCTTAATTTATACTGATTACAGGGTATATGACCCATCACTCCCACAAGTACAAAAGTTTGTTTTTTCTGGTTTATGTATGTTAGCTGTTATTATTTAAGGAAGTCATAGTTAGAAAAGAGCTGTTTGAAGTCTTAAGCAGTTGTGCAACTCCAAACCATCAGAGCAGGACTTTCATTCAGAACTATCCTTCAAATGTCATCTCAGTTTTTATTAATAAACCCTACATTTGGGTGAGGGGGAAAGGGAAAAATTTCTAGTTCTTCACTTCACTTGGGTAATAATGCATGGGCTCTCCTCTAAGCTAGCCTCAACATTTAATAAGCACTGAGGGGCATAACACTAAATGAACTACCCTTTCACTGTTTCCCCATGGATTTAGTAAACTGGCCTGCTTTGCCCAAAAATTCTTCCCTAGAGGGATGAGTCAGCTGCAGTCAGATAGGATTTTTTTTTTTTTGGTGGTCAGAAAAAAATGTACCTGCCTGAATTGATCTTTCCCTGTTCCTGTCTGCTGTTTTGCTTTCTTTGGCTGTGTTTTGTCTCTGCCCACTCCTGTGTTCTATTTCATTATCCCCTGCTGTGCACATAGTAGATCTGTTAAGGACGTTTTGCAGTGTAGCCTAGTCCTACTCCTGTGTACAGTTCTGTTCAAATATCAGTCAGGGTCACTTCAGAGAGAAGGGGTCAGTGGTGCTAGGGTCTTGCTTAAAGCAACTCCAGGAGAGCCTGTGCCTTAACCGCTTTTCAAATATGTGCCAAAATAAGAGAATATCCATCAAGTTAGCTTAATATTTGATATGAGATATCATGTCATGAGGTTGGTTTTGTGTCTGATAAATTGCTTATCCAGTCCCAAATGAGGAGGCTGTCCAATATGAACATACTAATGTTGTGGGAAGCAGCTGGTTGGGTGATTAAGTGTTATATGGGTGATTAAGTGGTATTTAACAAGGACTTTTGTATGTATCATCCCTATAGAACAGTTATAGGCAGGGTAATAAGTAAAAAGAATTTAGATAATGAATTTTAAGGTGAAAATTAAGCTCAAGTTGGTATTCCTTAGAGTTAATTCATTTGATCAAGAAATCTTCATTTAGAGAGAAATTCATGTACAACACCTCTCTTGTGGAGTTAGTTCCTTACCCTAGAGGAAGTAGCAAAGTAGTAATACCAATACAATGGTACAGAATAAATCCAAATTATATTAGAAGTAAATTCATTTATGCTACCCAAAGAAACTGCTGCTTCACAGGAAAGGTGGAGTTGATTTCTTGAAGAGATTGAGACATTGCTTGGGATGCTTGATTGGATTTATTGGGTTGTTGCAGTTCAATCATGGAATGATTCATGCCTCAAAACTTAAAGCATTCCCATAAATCTAAGCATTAAGACCATAGAAAACCCCTAGTAGCTTTGGGGTGCCTATGCTGCAGTACCAGTGTTTTGAACTGAAGTTACCAGGTAGAGGTAAAACTCAGTTTTGCTCTTTTGCATAACAAAGAGTACGAACAGAAGTTAATCCCTCACTGGGAATTTTTGAAAAAGAAATTAAATAGTCGTTTTTTTCTTACCTCAAAAGGCAGTGTTGCCCATCCTATACAAGATAGCATTAGTACTTTATTCAAAGACAGACTGGAACATTTCTTGTCCCACTTTTATGTAAGCTTCTCTCTCCTCCTTTGTCATGAGAGACACAAGCTCTGGGTTTTCATTAACTTCGCTGTAGGAGTGAGGCTGCCCCGCTACCATTAAAAGGGGATCCCGGCTTTCCTGCTCCTCCTCCTGCTCCACGTGGCTGCCAGCTGCCTGGGTTTCCTGTGTTCCCGAGTTCTGGGCATCTTCCTCCGCTTCACTAGTGTCGCTTCCTGATGGGGGTAGCTTGCTCTTGACATGGGGCACGTGTTCAGGGCCCGAGGACCACTTGGCCTCATGAATCAGAAGCGTCTGGATGATTTCACTCTCCGTGCCCATTTCTTTAGCACTTTCCTCAGCGTCTTCAGAAGGATGTGTTCCTAATACAGAATGTCAAGCATTAGAGGGAGTAATAGGAGGGAGTAACCACATAACGATGGTAACCACAGACATCCTCTGTGGCACAAGCAAGAGCATTTCTCTGCTCTGCATCTTGGTCCCACCACCTTCTCAGAAAAAAAAACCCAAAAGTTATCTTACCAGCAGTACTGGCAGTGGCTGCTGTTGCTTCTTCCACAGTACTCTGTGACATCCAAACAGGTTGTTCTTTAGTGACCTTTTCTCTTGTTTTCTTCTTGGGCTCAGAGTCTTGGACATCTATAACTAAGTCTTGGGTGTACATATTGCCAAAGGAGGAGCTTCTGCTGGCCCATTTTTCAGGTCGGCTGCTGGATTCCAGCAGGCTTGAACATACCTTATCATCAAGGCTGAAGGAAATGTGACACATGTGAGAGATTAAACACAAGCCTCAGGCAAAGGAAATCTTTAAAAAGTCTCCCCTCCCCGAGACATGCGATTCTGAACCATTAACTGTTGCCCATTCTCTTCTCTAGAGCATCCCTGGGTGAAGCACACTGATAGAGCAGCAGCATTTTCTCACAGTGAACAATATTAGCCAAAGGAGCAGAAGTCTGGAGAACTATATGCTCCTTGAAACAGAACAGGTAGTAAAAATATAATTACTGGTTTGTGCCAAGAATTTTAAATGCCATAATACATTAAGGAGCTCGGAGTCCTATAAACTAGGCAGGACAGAAGAAAGCAGAAGAGAAAGTGGGCTGCAAATTAGGTATTTAACAAGGCTTTTAGAACTGGGAAGTTTAGGGGAGTGGGAGTTATATCCATCAAAAGTTCTAGAGTTGCCTTTGTACCTTTCTGACAATCCTGGGATTTCTGTAGGCTGGGGCTCCAGCAGGTCGTAGGGCAGGACGATGTCCTCGGTGTCGCGCAGGAGCAGGAAGATGGGTTCGATCTGCTCGTTGAACCGGGCCAGCAGCGTGCGAGCGTCCCGCCGGGGCAGGGCTGCCGCGTCCTCCTCCACCTCCGTGCTGCAGTAGGTGCAGCGGAAGGTCTCTGCGGCAGCACCCACAGGGGACATTTTCACACACGGAAATAACTGGCTGAGAAATTCACAGCCTGGACAACAGCAACAAAATCCAACCAGCTTCTCTGGACCCAGCATTAATTTCCTCACATCATTTGGAGGAACTCATATTGAAGGCAAGCATAAGAAAACAAAAGACACTTGTGAGCATACATAGCAGCTGTTAAGGATTCTTTTGAAGTTCAAAAAGCCTCGCTTAGAGGCACCTAAAGTAAAGCTTACATTTGTGTCTAAAGGCAAGAGTCTTAAAGCGTGTGCTTTATTGGAAGAAATATTGTCAAATTGTGGAGGGACCGCTTTGCTGCCTGAGAGTTCAGTAGTTTCACCTTGCAATTTCAGAATGACCACACAAAGTATTAGTGATTCATCCTGGCTCTGACATCCTTTCCAGGTACCATGACTGAGTCATTAACATAGGAACTGCACTTGGAATAAGACATTGCGGTAATGTGTGATGCCATTTTAACTTTTTTTTTTCAAAAAAAAAAAAAAACACACCATACTCTGTTTAATTACTTTGGTCTTTTAGAAGAGAAACTCCCAAGCTCTGGTGTCATCTCTGCTGTGGATTTGTTGGAGGCCTTGGGAGATGTCTGGACATTGCTGTTTCCAGATCAGTACAGGAGTGACAGAAACCCCTGCTCTTTTGCTGACTTGCAATGTTTTTATTGCAGTAGGTAGGTACGGGGTTTTGTTGAAGCTTCATCATGTGTTCTATCAGAAGTGTTGAAGATTGATGTGGATGAACTAGCAAATTCGAGCTAGGGGTAAAATGCATGCTCTGTTCTCCTTCCTCTCATGGGGAAGCGCAACACAGGCTTGGTAAGTAATTTTACCCCCGGTTAGTGGCTTGTTCATAGTGAAACTGAGGCCAGGAACTGAATCTCAATCCCAGATCTTAAATTCCAGAGTATGCCTCTTGCTCAACCTGTTTTACAAACACTGCTTTCTCTCTTAACCTTAATGCCCAGCTTCTTATGGGATGGTCCATGCCCATCAGCAAACAAGAGGTATGTTCCAACAAACATGCTTTCACTGCAAACTTCACACCAATCACATGCACACTCTCCAAGCTATTCTTCAGTATAGAAAGTGAGCAGTATAACCAAACATACCTGTAAATACATCAAACAGCTGGTTGACTTCCAGGTCTGTGTAAGTGCTGGAGCAAGATGGGCACTTAAAAGATGACCTGGTGGTTGAATCCCGCTCGTCTGCTTCTATCTTCCGGCGCATCTGATCCAGTTTGTATTTCACCACATCCACCAGCACCTTGTAGTTGATGTAGTAGTAATTGTGCCTCGTGCTCTTCCCATCAGGCCCCGTTTCAACTCGCATACGCAGCTTGACAAATTTGTCTGCCTTGAGCGTGTTGAGCACAGCGCGCAGCTGCCTGCGTTCGTACTTGAGCAGCTGCAACAAGTCGTCCTCCTTGACGCAGGGGTAGCGGATCAGCAGGTCCAGGGCCAGCGAGTGCTCTGCCCCGTAGAAGCCGCGCACCGTGTACTTGGCCAGGCGCTTCAGGGCCGCCGGCACCTCCGAGAGAGCGCGCTCTGCTTCCATCGGGAGCCGAAACCCTGTCAGAAAGAGAAGCTTTGGTACCACGCACGAAACAGGCTGTGGTGAGTCTTCCTTAAAGTTCAAAGGTTTGTGTAAAGGTAGCCTTTAAAAAAAAAATACTGCTCTTCTGGAATAATCTGCACTGAGCAGATTAGCATAAAATCCTAAATCTGCACATGGGAATGGGGTGGTATACGTAGATATCAAAGGTTACCTGATCCTCAGGGATAAAGTTTGCACCCAAAATATTGACCCACGTACCCATGTGGGTATCAAGATCCACAAAAGTGACTAAGGAAGATTGGAGTAGAACAAGCCATAACACTGTTCTTCACTGAAAGCTGCATAGTCACCTTTCACGTCAAGGTCTACCTAATTAGCTGTTTTCTTTCACAACCAGCCAAGGAAGGTCTGACACAAACACTACACAAACTAGAAATTATAGCACAGTACATTAATGAAGCACTGAATCCTTAGATTAGTTCAAGCAGTGTGAAGCAGAAGAGACTCTTCCCTGTATTTGATCATCTCTTGGGTTTCTCCTCCCCCGGTTGCTGCAGTCAGGCCAAGGTCAAGCTGCTGGAGCACCAACAGGGCAGTGTCAGTGCCCTGTCCCCTCAGCACAGCAGAGCTGGGGCCCAGCCTGCTCGTGCCACCACACAACCCACCCCAGAAAGCCTATGTAAAGCTCTGCTCTTTGGTTCCCTTCCACCTTGTAGAAATACAGCCTTTGACACTAACCAATTCCCAGACCTGTTAACTGGGATGTAATTATTCCACTCTAATTCAACTGTCATGACCATTCCTCATTAGGAAGGGGTGGAAGGAGAAGAAATAATTCCTCAGGTGAGTTTCAGGGAAGCTGATCCTGCTTTGCTTGCTGGAGCTGCCGTCCCCAGCCAGCTTGCCACCCTGGGGACGGGCAGGCCCAGCGGAGGGCGCTCTGTGGTGGCACCTGCTGCTCAGGGCACCGTGCTCACACCGGCACCGTTGCTGCGTGGAGCTTCCCAGAGACCTTGAAGACAAGCGACGGAAACACAAGTCCCTGTTAAAACAGACCCGGAGCACTTTGCAGCAGCACCATAGCTGATCTGTCAGCACGTTTACACCATTTTGGTTACCTAAACCAAATGTAAGCCTGCTGGCCTGAGGCTAACAAAACCAGCTGGAAACCGAGAAGGCTGTAGGACCACACTGCTTTTTGGGGAGATCTTGGCAGGGCCTAAGAGAAACTGCCCCTTTTGCTGGGAGAGGGACCAGGTGTCCTGCATGCTCCGTAATCCTGGCAGGGCTGGGGTGCAGGGAGAGCAGCAAGCACTGAGCAAGGATGCGCCGGAGGCTCCACTGCTCCAGGGAGGCTGTTCCTGACCTCGCTCCCAGGGTAGCCTCGGCTGCAGCAGGAGCAGAGCCCCAGCGCACACAGAGACCCAGTCCCAGCCTTCCCTCAGGACTGCTCCAGGAGGGCTGGAGGAGGCTGCCGGCCTGCCTATCCTCTGGATGGCTCCTTATCCAGGGCACTTGGCGCTCGCATCTCTGAAGCGAGCACTGCCTCCAAAGCACTGCACTGAGGTGCTTCCAAACACCTTGATGGCAAAGGCTTTTCTTGGGTCAGTCTAACCATTAAACTGGTTGGGAAAAAGGAAAGGGAGGAAGGGCAACAACACTGCCCGAGTAGCATAAATCTCATAACTATACCCCAAGAGTAGAGCAGAAATATTCATTTTCTTTAAATGAAAAAAAGCTACAAAACTCACTGGCCATTAGATACAGAACACTGATTACTCTGGAAGGAAAGGGCTTTTACTAAAAATGGCTGAACCTACCCTGACTAGAGAGCATGCATGGAAAGCACAAATCCATCAAGTGTTGCTTCAAGTCACACAAGAACACAGCATGGGTATTCTATAGCAAAAAGTATTTCTAATGAAAGTAATGGAAAAAGACATTTCCTTCAGTGCTTCAGTATATCTGAGGTTGCATTTTCCATTCCTTTTTGCTAAGTCTCCCAGTTTTGTAATCACTGAGCCTGAAGAGTGTAATGTGTAGTAAAAGCTGTTGTGCAGCTTTCAAGTCACCGGTGGAAGTTCCCCTTTAGAAGGAACTTTGAGGCCCCCATTATCAAGAGGAGGGAGAAAAGGAAGAAGTAGCAGCAGCTGCTCCCCACAGAGACTAAATGGCTTTCAGTGAGAATCTGCCCCAGGTCTGACTTGCAGTTTCCCTTAAGGAGAAAGGTATTTTGCTACTCCTGGGGTATCAATTAATAGCTTTGACAAGACACTTTAAAAAGTGAATCTGTTCCTGTTTTAAAAGGATTTCTTTTCATTGGGGGAGGAGCAATATTTTTAGTACACTGGCTATCTTCAAGCTTACTCAGTGACTTAGATGCAAGAGAGGCCCTTCGGGTTGTAGGTAAGATGGAAGCTGCCAGAATCTTCATGAGGGAGGGTAGAATCATAGAATGCTTAAGGTTGGAAGGGACCTCTAGAGGTCATCTAGTCCAACCCCCCTGCACACGCAGGGACACCTAGAGCACGTGGCACAGGAGTGCGTCCAAGCGGGTTTGGAAGATCTCCAGAGAAGGAGACTCCACAAACTCTCTGGGCAGCCTGTTCCAGTGCTCTGTCACCCTCACTGTTAAGGAATTTTTCCTTAAGTTCCTGTGGAGCTTTTGGTGTTTCAGTTTGTGGCCATTTCCTCTAGTTCTGTCGGTGGCCACCAGTGAAAAGAGACCAGCACCATCCTCCTCACTGCCTCCCTTGAGGTACTTATAGACACTGATCAGATCCCCTCTCAGCCTTCTCTTCTCCAGGCTGAACAGGCCCAGCTCCCTCAGCCTCTCCTCATAGGGCAGATGTTCCAGGCCCCTGATCATCCTTGTAGCCCTGCGCTGGACTCTCTCCAGCAGCTCCACATCTCTCTTGTACTGTGGAGCCCAGAACTGGACACAATACTCCAGATGCGGCCTCACCAGGGCTGAGTAGAGGGGCAGGATGTGCACAGGCCTTTAGTTTCTCCATAGCCAGGAGCCAGAGCTACCTCTGGGCCCACCTCCTTGCTTGGGAAGCCCACGCAGTTCCTCGTCATGCTGCGAGTCAGAATTTCACATTAACAGGCGGCAGTGGCACCGCACAGAGCAGGTTCTGCAAGGTTCTCTGGAGGCAGCTGCCTCATTAGCATCCTACCCAAGCTGCCCCAAAAGGCAAACTAGGTCCCTTGCTAAACTTTGATCAGCTCTTACACTTTAAAAGCACCAAAATGGAATGATTTGTAAGAGTAGATATTGAAAAAAAATCACAGCACTTGCAGCTAAGTTAAAAACATAATCATTACCTCCCTTGTAGATGCAGAAAATTTCAGTGTGATACTGCAGATGCTCCTTTCCCAAGGGCCTGAAATAACTACATGGAAAACTTAAGTATTTTCCAGCCTTTTTCTAGCCCTATCAGTGATAAGCCCTAATTAACACCCAGCTGCAGCAAACAAGCCCCAGAATGTCATTCATCAGCAGCTGAGTGAATTCAGCTTTATGCAGTTGCATCAGAGCAAAGCTACAAATCTGATTGCTCAAGAGAATCCACCTAGAGCAGATAAGGACTGAAATTTTAAGTGACTGCAGTCGCTGGTTAGTGTTTTCATTAGCATGACTTTAGAAGGCCTGAAGTACCATCATCGTTAACTTGTCTTTATTAACATCTTTATTAATTTTATACTTCTACTTGTTAATCTTTTTTGGTGATTTTTAGGTCTTCAAACATCTGAAATTTGTTCATGCATTTTTCACTATATATTTCTAAAAATTATGAATGCTATTATTTCTTTTTATTTAAAAAATGAATTTATAAACAATAAGGGTATAAAACACTGTAGTCCTGTATTAAAATGCTTTATTTTATTAGCACTACTGTCATTGTATTACTCCTCAAATCCGTGTGTGTTTTCCATACATTTTCTTGGATGCAAGCAGGGATGGCGAGTCAGGCTTTCGCTGTGATGCGACTTGGGTGTCGTTGGCAGGTGTTGTGCCTTACCTTGTGCTTTTGCTATTGCTGTTCTTTACTGGAACTCTGATTTCCCAAGTTGCCCAGCATATGGGGTGTCCATAGATTCTCCCCGGAGGTGCAGGGATTTGTCTGCATGGAACAAATTGTGCAAGTAGAGTATGAAAACGTCCCTGCAGGAATGAGAAATTGTCTGGTGGACACACGCAGCTGGGGAGTACTAGGGTATAGATGAATCGCACACCTTCAGCTGCAGATTTTAAATCTCATGGGGATAAAATGAAGTAGATGATAGAGTCTATTCCATAGAGGGGTTCCTGTCCATCCTCCTTGGTTACTGCCTTCCACTAGAACATGCAAAGGAACTAGGCCGCTCGCTGGCTTTAGTCCGTGGGAATGGAGACACTGGTGGGTTTCCTTGTGTTTGGGATGGGGAAGGTGCCGGTTAGCTCAG